GGGAATTATCACTTACACAGTATTTTGGAGAAAAGAACTTTCATCAATTAAGTTTACTACACATTATAAATCAATTCCTAATCTATTTAATATAAAATTGGAAATGGAAATTTTAAATTTCAATCAAAAATTTGATAAATTTTTAACAAATTAAATATAAGCAAAACCTTGACATTATTTCCAATTCATCCGTTTTACATGGTGGAACAAGTAAACTTGCCTTTCGTTGACAATTCAACCACTGAAAACTTGGCTAATGTGTAAAATTGTTAAGTAATATGTGAAATTTAAACTTTCATTTCTTTCATATTTCAAATTAATTTTATACTTTCCGATTTTATTAAAATATTTAAAATATTTCAAATTAATTTTATACTTTCCAATTTTATTAAAGCATTTAAAATTTTAATTGAACCAACAAATTATCCCAATGAATTAATTAAATTATGAATAAAATTGATGCATTATCAATACAATAATAATTGATTGACGAATTATTTTTGTTTATTTTAAAAAAGAAAAACGAAATTTTAATATTTAAAAAACTTTATACAACCTTCTGTTTTTCACCCATTAATGTAGCAAGCATTCTTCGACTGTAATATAAGTTTTTTTGAAATGCGCTATCACCTGAAGTATCATTTTTCGAATTCGAATTATAACTGGATACGGGTGAATTCATAATATCCTGGAAATGATTGGTGATAGTAATTGAAATTTTACGACTGATATTTTTGATAAAAATTTTCCAAATAATATTTTGCATTGAAATGATAATGGAAGGAATAATTTATTTTTAAATAATATCTTCAAAAATTTTACGGTTCATTTCCGTTTCTTTTTTTATTCATTACTTATTAGGCTGTACTGTTAATTAACAAATTTATGGTAATAATTAATACTAAAAGGTGTAATAGGATAATGTTTTCCTCATTATAGCGTTATCAATCAATATTTATTTTTTATTCGTTTATTAAACTTTAATTCTGTGATTAAAAAAAAAAAAAAGAACAAGAAATATCACTAGAATTATTAGCTCAACAATCAAACATTTCAAACAGTATGTCTTGCTGGTTAATTATTTACTGTATCTGTATACTGTATTATTGGATACGGATGATTTTTTTGTTCCATAACACAGAATTGAATTTTAATGTAAGAGTAAATGATGTTAAATGGGGAAATTTTCTTATTTTTTATTTTACTGATTCAGGGAGAATACAGTGGTTTTGCGATTTACGATATGAAATCTTCCAGAAGAAGCAAATGCAATACAGTAAGCAGATACAGTAAACTATTGAGCAGAAAGCATATTGTTTTTGAATGTTTGGCTAAAGTGTTAATAATCCGTATGATTTTTGAATAATTCTTTTAAATTATTTTCAAGCTTCTTTTCTAAATGGGAAGAATTTTTTAAGCTTCTTTATTGTACCATTTATTTACAGCAATTTGTTAAATTTCTTGAATAAAATTAAGGTTTTCTGTTACACTAAATTAAATTAAGTTTTTTTTTCTTTTTTTTTATTTGAAAATCAAATGTACATTCTGATGTATTATAAATAAGAAAAAAAGAAAGAGAAGAAATCTATTAATAATAATGATCTTAAAGTTGATAAAAAGAAAGAAAAAAGCTAGGAAGAAAAGGAAGAAGAAGCAAGCATTGAGCTACTCTGATAACGTCTTAACAGTGAACACATTTATACAATCTCTCCGTATGTTTGTATGGTAATTGATAGGCTCCGCTCAATTTCATGAAAGCAATGATATGATAAGAGATGTTCCACTAATCATTCATCATACCATATCAGACCAATTTTTAAACAAATAGCATATAAATTTTTTCTTAAAAAAAACCCCTTTTTATTTACTTTATACTTTGGTATACTTTCGGCATAACTGACAAAAAAAAATCGATCCTTGTTCTGATAAGTTCCATAATCAAAGTTTTCTGTTTATTTTCACATTAACCATAAATAGGTTATTAATATTTCCCGATGAATTAGATAAAAAAAAAGAAAAAGCACAGAGATTATAATGTTAGAAAGTATAATTTTCAGCTTTTGTAATATTTCGGAATAATTTTATTATATATATAAAATTATCATTACTGCATACTGTAATGGTTGCGTACTGTATGAGCACACTGTATAAACTCGTACAGTATGCAACAATTTGAAAAACTAAAAGAAACAAATAATATTATTTGTAATATAGAATTATTATTTCTGATATTATTTTACCTTTTTTTTCTTCCTTTTTTTCTTCTCTCTCTCTCTCTTTCATTCCACATTTTATCTATTTGAATGAAATTAATAAACTTTAATTTTATTCAAATTTAAAAATTTTAATGGTATGAAAATACTGATGAAAATTTGTTGAGAAAAATGAAAATTTTTATATGCTGCATTTTATCAGAGTTATAATTAGAAATTAACAGTGATAAAGCGCGCAATCACATCATTTCTTTCCTTTTAGCAATTTCTTCTTGTACTTCATTTCGATCATTCCAATCTTTTTTTTTTTCGTTTTTGATGTTTACATACAAAAATCATCGTCCTTCTCATCAACAATCTTATCATACTAAGCAATATATAATTTAGCCAACATTGCTAAGCGCATTTGTCATCTATTCTCATTTTCTTGCAAATTAGACATTATTAAATTGATCGCTTACGCTTGATATCATATCATTTCAAAATCATTTTATCATATAAACATCAACAAGAATATCAAACTATATACATTGCAACACTTCTATTTCAAATATATTTTTTTATAAAAGCTTTCGTTTTAAAAACAAAAATGATTAATGCAATCATGTGAACAAATTATAATAATACTAATTCACATCATTTATGAATAGCATAATTAAACGCTAATTAATATTGTTATTGTCACATTTAGTATCATGCATTACACTTTTATACAAATTATAATAATACTAATTCGTATAATTTATGGATGGCGTAATTAAGGGCTAATTAATATTGTTATTGTTACAAATAATTATTGTATATGCAAATAATATATATTTAAACTGTTAATTAATTATTATTATATGATACAACTTTTATTGTTTTAATGTATTAAACATACAATAAACATTATTATCATGCTTGCAATACATTTACACAATTTACTGAACAAATCATAATAATACTATTCATATTACATATGAATGATAGAATTGTTTCGTTTTAACTGATTTAAATTAAACCTTTTTTTAGATTTAATGATAAATTAATATGCAAAAATATTGATAAATTATTGTAAGGTATCTTTATTATTAATTAAATTTTTAAACCTATCTATATTTTCTGTAATGTTCTTTTGTTATTGAATATTTAATTTCTCAAATATTTAACATTATTTGTTACTTTTTTTAGCAACACATACAATTTTAACATGCAAATTTTAATTATTCCATTTCTAATACTTTAATTATTTTGACGAAACTTAAAATTAATCATCAAATACAAATTGTAAATTAATTTTTTACAACCTTTGTGTAATTTAAAATTATCCATCGATCTCATTCAGCTATTATTTGGTTGTTCATATAGGATATAAAAACATTGGAATGCATTCCTGATTATATTTCGGATGATTACCGGCTTATTGTTCTTTTGGAAGATTATAGGAATATTTCAAAATTTCATTCCTATTCATTTTAGAAATAGAACAAAAATTCTCCTCCTATCACTATCCCTCTTCATTTTCAGTTATAATTTTAATACTGGGAGAAATTTGAATATCAAAAATATACGAAATAATACAAACCCAACAATGTATTTCCTAATTATCGGATCAAGTCCATCCATGAATGATTGACTGACTGACTGACTTGACTGAATGAATGAATTCATCTTTTCTGGTTCAATTATCATCGATACAACCTATTACAATTTTCAATTCCCTCATTAAAATATTTACTCCTTTGACATTTTGTCCGGAATAAAAATATTCATTCATCAATGCTTGACAGTTCCATTAAATATTTTCCGGTTTTCATTCAGTTAATATTAACATTCGATAATTTATCTCATTTGACATTTTCCAGTTTCATTTCTTGAAAATTTTTCACTATTTTCTATTATTTTAAATAACAATAAAATGATGAAATGTTTTAGTTTTTTTCTTTAATTTTTTTCATTTCCAATAATTCATTCAATTCTCAAAATTATTAAAAATACACAGTAAATATCTTTTTACTAATTGATTTCCAATTTAATTTAATTTTTTTTTATTAATTATTGTAGTCTTATTATCAATTTGGTCATTGCTTTTCTTTGTTTCGCTTTTATATTGCACATGCTATCAGATGTTTCATTTCTTTTTCAACTTTTAAAAATAATTCTTTAAAAGTTGAATAAATATTTATAGGCTTGGCTAATTTACACCTCTATCTATCAGGTATACATATTTAATACTTATCATTACCTAAAAATTTATAGGTAATTGGGAAAGTGGAAAAAAAAAATTGCTAAGAAAGCTAAGTAATCTTCTCATTTGTCCCATACAATACTATTATATGATAAATTGAACTAGTCCATTTTTTATCTAATAAAGTTAAATTGTTTTGAATAATTTCGTTGATGCTTACAAAAAGGGCTAAACCAAAGTATGGTAACAGGTGTACAATAGAATTCAACAATTAACCTAATTAATTTAATTATTCAAAAGTATGCATACATTTCATATGACACATATGATCTTGTTTTATGGAAAGAAAGCAAATTTTCATCGCTTATATTAACGGTTTATTCAAAACATCAAAGTGTGTCATCCTTACAATCTATTCAAGATTACTTCATTATCATTACGATAAGTTATATGTTAAGCAAACTGTTATCATTTCAATTCATCCTCTATTAACACTAATTTGCGAATTCGCAAAAAAAAAAAAAGAAAAAAGAAAAGTAATATTATAAATCTTGATAAATGAGATCATTGTTAAGTGATAAGTAAATGAATGGAGAAGACTTTAAAAAGAGCAATGATTTCTAATCATTCATTTATTTTATTAATAAAATTATTAGGTGACAATTTTTTTTTTTTTTTTGTTAAAATGGTGACAATAATGGGTATTATTAAAAGATAATTTAAATAAAAACAATGCTTTGAAAAATTCTAATTTAATTATTTCTTTCAAATCATCTCTAATTTAGGAAATCATTAATGTTATCTATTTTAATCCATCCCCTTATCATTTTATCCGGTATATACAAAGATATTTATATTTTTGCAAAACATTGAAATGATAAGAAGATATTGTTAAGTTTGTTTGATATTTTATAGTTAAAGGTACGTATTTATGTGTATTATTACCATGTTATTTTTGTAAATAATAAAAAATATTTTTAGATTGAAATTTGTTATAGAATTGAAATTAAAATCAAAGATCAACAAAAACATTGAATTCTTATCAACAAAACGAAAATTATGTTATGGAATATTGAACGAAACATTTTAATTATACAACTATTTCTTTACTCAATTCCATGTTTCTGCTTTAGATCAATACCATTATGGCATTGTATTCCAACTTGTTTCCAAGGTTTAATTTATTCATTTAATTATGCAAATTAAAGTGAAAATTATTATAATAAGATGAAATTAACGATGAAATACGATAAGAATAAAACGTTTATTACAATTAATCGAATTAATAATTTGCTAATTAAGCAGAAAATTTCAACTACTCATCAAATTCTTTGTTGCTTTAAAAAAAAAAAAAAAAATAGATAAATAAATGAATTTTATAAAAAAATTTCAGTTCCAATCGTAGAAGAACTGGAAGTATTACCACCATTGCCATTTTCGTATGTGTCACCGTCAAGCGGTGAAAGTTATGCACAGCAACATGTTCAGGTGCAACCACAAAAGCGATATATTTCAGGTGAGAGTTATTCAAAGCATTTCAGTTCATCAGATATTTTTCATCAATTCAATGATATAAACTTGCCACAACAACAACAACAACAACAGCAATATGAGCAAAATGAATTATGGCAACCTGATCAACCTGATGATGAATCAATCATATATATCGCTGAAAGTTAGATTTTAGAATTTTTAATATTTAAAATATGATTTACATTCATTTTTTTTAAAATCAATTAAAAATTTAATAGTTAACAAAAAATTCATCTTCTGGAATAGTAATGATGAAATGAGTGAAGAAAAAATGATAATATTTGGAAATAACCTATCCTAGAAATGAATTTGTATGATTAATTTCCTGTTAGAAGTTGACATCGTATTTTCAATTCAAATTTTATCAAATATATTTGCAATCAAATTAGTAGAATTTTTGATTAATTTAAGAGAGCGATTATATGATATTCAAATTTGAGTATCAAATTATAAACAACATAATTAATTGCTATTAATACTAAAGAAAAATCGAATTTAATTCAAAATTGATAACCAAAAATAATTCAAGCAACACCTAATCCATATAATGAGCTACTCGATGGAAAACAGTTGATAACAAGACAGCCTCAACCCGTACCAATGTTTAACCAATATGATGACAATTATTTAATGGAAGCATTGAATGATATATCAAATCATACAACCTCCAATTATCCATCACCGATTGCAGCCATGGAAGGGACTTCAGAAGGTAAATCAATTTGAACTTTATAATGCTGCTGCCTTCAAGTTTTATTAAATTTGAACCAAAATTTTAATTGGAATTTGTTAAAATTAACATTTCCTGAATTATTCACTTAAAAACAGTTTCAGATTCAAAAAATAATTTACAACGGACATCATTTAACGTACTCAAACGACGAAAAACGACTAAGGATGTGGTAAGTTGTGAATGTCATCTAACAATTTCATTATGTTTTTGATTGAAATATTTTGATTTGACATTGCACATAATTTATCCATCATTAAATGATTAGAATTCAAGCTTTATTTTAAATTTAAAATTAACTTAACTTTTAAACTTCAAAAAAAAAAGGAACAAACGAATTAATATTATTGATGAAGTTTTAGTTCGGACGTAATTATCCTACAAAACGGGTTATATTTCCATCTGCTATATGCAACAGCAGAAAACTTAGGAATGTTATATTACAGGTAAGCAGCTACATTTCAATATCTGAAATCAATCGATTAGTTATTTATAATTATGGTGTATGGATAGCAATGAATGAATAATACAAATATAAATTAGAATATTTTGTGAAACATAAATCACAAATATGTTAGATAATTAAGAAACTTACGCTTTAAGTAAAAACTTCACGTACGACAGTAAGTTAGCGTATTATTGTTGTTGTTTCCTTTCCAAAAAAAAAAAAGAAAACTTCACGTACGACAGTAAGTTAGCGTATTATTGTTGTTGTTTCCTTTCCAATTTTATTATATTGTATTATCGGTTAAATTTAATTTAAATGATAAATTAAATTAAATTTAGATGATAAAAATATAAAAATTTAATTTCTAGGCAATAACAACTGATGTATCAGAATCAAAACGTAGCATAACAAAAGCAGCTGAACATGCTTATCAAGGGATTAAATTTGATGTAATTTGTGCAGAAGGTGATTTTAGCTATACTGTTCATGCAAAGAAATATTGTGAAGTTACCAAAGAGAATATGACTTGTTTTGTATTTCGATAAAGAAAACATTCGCATCATAATTATGTTTCTGTGTATACATGAAATCATCGTATTATATCATTCATTAATGAATATTTCAACAAAGAAGAGAAACTGCTTGAGATGTAAAGCATCTCTGGGTAATTCTCAATTGCAAGCTTTATTTACCTCATGGATGAGAAGTTAGTTGTTCACGTAGCCGTCATTTTGGGAAGATAAAAGGATGTCACGTAGCCGTCATTTTGGGAAGATAAAAGGATGTCACGTAGCCATCATTCTGGGAAGATGAAAAGGATATCACGTAGCCGTCATTT